CTATGCAAAAAATAAAAATAAAAATAGGAGACTAAATTTGATTGGTTGTGTTTTGAAAATACATAACAATAATTTTGAATTAAAATTTGTTTAATATGATATAAATCGATTTTAATGTAATCTTTTGTATGAAAAATAAATTATATATAAACATATTGTATTAAAATTAAATATATGATGTAATCTTTGGAGAGGAAAAAAAATTACTGTAAATACACAGTAAAAATAAATGAGAAAAACACGATAAAATATACTCTAACAATCCCTTTTATTTTTCTTTATTATTATTATTATTATTTTTACATTACCCATAATTAGCACATAATGTATGAACTAATAAATATAATAATAGTTCAAAACAACATAAATTACGACTGATCTCAATACAAAATACTTGTTAACCTAACACAAATGAATGATATGAACTAATAGCATATAATAATAGTCCACAAAATACATGTTACTATTGATCTCAGCACACAAGATGCATATTAATAAAGCATATGAACATATATGATTTAATTCCAACAATGCACTAAGAAATAATTGCTCGTATAAAAAAAGAATATATATATATATATATAATTGTTCATATATCGATTATCCCTAATCAACACCATAACTGATTGTCGATAATAACAAGTATTTCATTGTATTTATCTAAAAAAAAAAAATTTCCTTTCTATTTGCTTGAAAATTCTTCAACAAAATTTTCAAATATATATAATTGCTTGATAGAAAAGGAGAATAAACTAAAGAAGTGCCCCCACCTGATTAGTTGTTGCATCAATTTTAATTTGCTTGTGCATTCAAGTTACATTCTCAAATGTTGGAACCGACTTTCAATATATATACCTATATAAATATATACTCCCTCCTTTTCATATTTATCTATTTATTTACTTTTTGCACGAAATTTTAGAAATATTAGTATTATATTGGGACGTAGTAGAAATAAAAGTAAAAAGACTAAACTAACCTTATTAGTATTTTGTGATATAAAAGTAATGATATTTGTGTAATATATTGTAAATTAGAAGAATAGTTGTAATATTATGTAGATAGTATAATTACTAAAAAAAAAATGAATACTTTGTTATAGGGCAGACCAAAATAAAAAAATAGATAGATTGTTAAGGGAGCGAGAGAGTATGTTTTAGTTTTTACCAAAAAAAAATGTTTACTTTCACAATATATGCTAATTTAATAATATATATATATATATAATTTTAACAAAGATCCATGTTAAATAGCATGCTAAAATTTAAATGACAAAATTGTCTTGAATTTAATATGAAGAACTATTTTAATACCATCTATTGGATATGTTGGAATAATCTTATAAGTTTAAACATTAATTTAGACTTGAGGATGACTACAAATTTTGTTAATCAACACATTCTGATAGTACAATTAATATATATCACACAATACATTATATATAAAATTACCGTACATACATAAAATAGAACTGACAAACATATACCAATACTTATACCTTATGTAAAGTTTGTTATGTTTTCATATGCTATCGATAGCATTTTTATGTACAAATTGGGACAATACACATAGTGTTGATGAATTCTCAGCCAATACTCTAATTGAACCGATCGATATATATATATAGTGTTGACAATTTATATATACTAAGTGTAATATTTTTCTTATATCTTCTTTTTGTTTGATCTGAAACAATATTTTATACATAAAATATGAAGTTCATAACTTGTATTTAAATCTTGCTTAATCATAATTGATATATGAATAAATGAACATTATGAATATAGAGATATATTTGAGTATTGATTAGGGCTAATAAGTACTATAGTGATTATTTCTAATCAACACATTAAATAATCTGACAAGCTCTAGTTACGGGGCCTAAAATGATAAAAATATCCAATTATAGAACTAAAAAATCAATTTACCTTTTATTTTTTTATATATAGTTTGTAGACTATGACATATATTCTCAATTGATATATTATATTAATATATATTGTGATATAGAGTTATACTTATGTGTTGCCCGTATATATGTTGTCTTGTCAACACTGTATTGAATATAATTACTTAGCTAACAATTTTATTGCTGAATACATCTCTTAATAAATCAACATCTTATATATAAGCATATCATATAGTTACATACAATCAAAAAAATGAAAGCATAGTTCCAAAAACGATGACCGGTGATGTGGGGATGGACTCACGGTCACGGATTCAGACTCCGGCGCCTCCAAGCTATTAGGTTCGACTAGGGGTTTACCGAGTGCGCACTTTCAGGTAATAGCCGAGGTTCCCGCGTTATCAAGAAAAATAAAAATGAATACATATATAAAGTTTTATAATCTTTTAATTTTTTTTAAAATTCGCTTACCAAAATCATACTCACTCCGTCTCGGTATTATATCATTGTTACTGTAAGACACGAGAATTTAGGAGATGCATGATTAATAAATAATTAAAAATGTATTAGTACAATTATTTATAATATAATATAAATATTTATAAATTAAAATTAAGATAACTAATTAATCTAATAAAAATTAAATAAATTATAAATTATAAAATTTAAATGTGTTGAATAATTCTTTTATAAAAAAAAAGCGACATAATCTATGAAACGAACAAGAATGAAAAGTGTGACATTAATGTGGAATATAGTATATTTTATATATAGACTCAACACACTGAAAAAAGAAAAAATTAAGAACAATCTACCGAGGAGGTACGACGTCGGATTTACCTCAATTAGTTGCGATTGATAAAATAATTTATGTATTCTAATGAGCTCGTAGCAAACATGTATATACACAATAAGAAAGAAAAAAAGAAAAAACAAACAAACAAACCCGAACGACTTCTACGATAAAATGGTATGATCATTATTAATAAATACATCATTGATTGTGATTACTAACTAAACACAAGACTCTTGTGTATAATACACACAAAATAAACTATAAAATTCAAGTTTATCGATTATATATACATATATTTTAAATTATTTTTCATACAAAAATAATACTCCTTCCGTCCCGAAACTAAATATCCATTTGCTTTTTGCACGTAGTTTTAGAAATATTAGTATTATATTGAGATATAGTAAGAATAAAGTAGAAATGACTAAAATAACCTTATTAGTACGTGTGATATAAAAGTAGTGGTATTTGTGTAATATATTGTAAGTTGTAAGGGTATTTGTAATGTTAGGTAGATAGTACAGTTACTAAAAAAAGAAATTGATACTTTGCTCTGGGACGGACTAAAATGAAAAAATAGATATTTTGTTATGGGACGGAGGGGAGGGAGTAGTACAACACATCAAATATTTTTCAATTTTGATACTATTTAATCTATAATAGATTTACCTGTTTTTTTTCCAATTTAATTTAGCATTTTATCTCTAAAATTTAACCAAAAAAATATCAAAATAAAAATGAAAAAAAAATACAAGTGAGTAAAAATGTGACTCTATTGCATATTTTTCAAAATTGTTTTTGTAGTATGCATACTAACATTTCACTTTAAAATATGTCACTTCCCAAACTTATTTTTTGATTCAAAATATTAAATAAAAAATAATTTCTTCATTCAAAACTTAATTATATTATATCAAATACATAATTTTTATTGAACTTTTTACTATTAAAAACCCATAATTACCAAACCCATTTATAAAACATGTGTAAATCCATGTTATATATATATATATATTAGTAAAAAACAAAAAATATCATATCAAATATTTAGGCTACATTCCCATAAAGAAATCACCTTCAGACACTATTTATTTGTATTATATTTTTAGAAAATATCACATTAGATAAATATTTAGGTTTTATGTATATCTAGGTTTTGTTTACATAGATAAATTTGGGGCTTTTTGTATAGTATTTTTTAAAATATATATTGTACTTTTGTTATAAAAAAAAAGAAGTATATAATCTTTTCTAATAAAAAAATATTAAATACTAAACTGTTTTATTATTTATCATTTTTTTAATTTTAAAACTTCAAAAGTCTGTCTAAACTATTATTTTATTCGATAAATATTTTATAAATACTTAGTATTTGGGTGTGCTTTTTAGTGTTTTTTTTTAAGTACATTTTTCTAAAAAAGTTGAATACTTTATACGTATTTATTATTTTTATATTACTTATAAAATTTTCTATATCTTATTTAAAAAAATAAAAAATATATATTATTTTTAAATTATTTAAAAATCAAATCTAAATATAACTTTATTATCTTTTAAATTCAAAAATATTATACCGTAGTACAATAAAATCTAAAAGAATGCTAGAGAATCACAAATGTGGCCAAACAGCTTTTTTACACCATTCCTTTTCTCTTTCACACATATATAAATTCTTATTAGCTTAATTAATTTACATATTTTTGGTTTATTCCCTCTTAATTTAAAATTAAAATCAATGTTATTCATCTTTTATAAGATTAAACAAATAAATTGTTTTTTTTTTTACAAAATATTAAATCAAAATATTATTTTAAAAAAATTTTAAATAAAGACTATATTTTAAATCAGAACCAAACAAACAGACTCAATTTACATAATTGACTTGCACTCATTTGTCATTATTCATTTTTAAAGAAAAATATCACAGCAAATATATTTTTTTTTTACAAACATCAAATCAAATACTCATATTTCATCCAAATTTATTATTAGTTTTCGTTTTTTAATTGTCATGTAAAGTTATTCTCATTTTATATTTTTAGTAAAAAATATTATTTTTTTCTAATTATTTTTACCCTAAAAAATAAAAAATAAATATTTTTACTTATATTTCTTAAAGTTCATATCGGATTAAATGAGCACGCAAATAATGACAAAGGAAATAGTAACTTTTTAATTTTCTTTTTCAAAATTCTATAAAAGTTCTCAAAAAATAACCTCAATCTAAACACAAGTCTTTGACACACATCTATCTATATATACACATATATACAAATAACAACATACACCACCAAATAAAAATATAAATAAAATAAAATAAAATGGCCATGGCCATGGTATCATCTCCTTCGTCTTCCTCAAAGCCTAATAACTTCCCAGACATCTTCTCCTGGCTCTACAACCTCCCACCGTTCCATCAATGGCAGACCATGTCCGTCAATCTCAGCCGTCCATCTGATCATCTCACCCTCTCCATCAACAACTCCAACAACTCCTTCTTCTCCCTCTCCATCTCCATCTCTTCCAATTACTCTCACCTCCCCGTCGCCCTCTGGACCTCCAAAAAGCTCTTCCCAAACCCTAATTCCCTCAAACTCCTCGACGCTTCCGACACCAACAATCTCCTCCCGACCCTCCTCTCCAATTTCATCGAAGACGTCCTCAAATACGGCCCCAACAACACCCACTCCCTCAAAGTCGCCGCCGATCTCTCCGGCGCCGCCGCCGCCGCCGCCGACATCCTGAATTTCTCCTTCCTCAACCTGGCCCTCGCCGTCTGCGTCTATGAGGCCCCCGACGACATCCGCGGCGGCTGTCTCGCCGCCCTGGTGGAGCAGTACGGCGGCCCGAAGTCGAGGCGGGCGTCGAGGACGATGATGAGGGTTTTGGGGTCGAACGTCGAGGAGCAATGGATGAGGTCTGTTGAGATATTTTACATATTCGGTCGTAAATTTATACTCGGTCAATCTCTTTATAATCTATCAATTTTCATTCATTTTGGTCCGTCCAATAATAAAGTATTTATTTTTTATTTTTTAAAAGTAATTGTACTATCTACTTAACATTATAAATACTATTTTCAATTTATAATATATTATACAAATGTCATTATATTTACATATTAATAAGGTTAGTTTGATATAATACTTCATCCCGTCCCTTAACAATCTATCAATTTTTCTACGTTGATTTGTCGTACGATAAAGTATATATATATATTTTTTAGTAATTGTTATATCTACTTAACATTACAAATACTCTTTTCAATTTACAATATATTACACAAATATCGTTACCTTTACATCATACAATGCTAATAAGGTCAAGTAGTTTTTTTACCTTTATTTCTGCTACATTCTAATATAATACTCTTCCGTCCCTCAACAATCTATCCATTTTTCTATTTTGATCCGTCCCATAACAAAGTATTAATTTTATTTTTTTAGTAATTGTACTATCTACTTAACATTACAAATACTATTTTAATTTACAATATATTACACAATGTCATTACCTTTATATCATACAAAACTTATTTCTACTACATTATAATGTAATATTAATATTTCTGAAATTCCATGAAAAAAACAAATGGATAAGTAGATATGGGACGGATGGAGGGAGTATTTAGATTTGATCTTATCCATATATTAAATTAGTTAGGTTTGAGTATATCGAGTCAATTTTATATTAGCTATGTATATAGACCCCTTATTTTGATGATCAATAGTATATAATTATTTTTCCCCAAAATTTTTCAAAAGGTCGATGAATTTGGCGATCACGAATTGGATGGCAGAGGTGGCGGCAGAGGAGGTGCGGATGCCGATGTTTTCGTACTCGGTCTCGACGGCGGGGCTTTGGAAGGTCCAGGTATACTGTCCGGTGATGGCGATGGAGGTGGAGAAGGCGAGCTGCGGGGCGGCAGCAGCGGCGACGGCGGACGAGCGGCTGCTGTTCTCGCTGAGGTATCATCAGGTGGAAGGGGTGATACAGCTCAACTATGTTGTGGATGTTCAGGACAAGTGGATCGAAGTTTTGGTCAATACTGATAACATAAGGTATGTTTTTCACTTGTAAGAAATTAATTTTATCTATTTTGTCATTTTCATATGTTTTAAATCAATTTTTTTTTGTTTTTTTGTTATACTTTTCAAAATTATTTCAAAATAAAATCTGCTTTGTTTAGATTGAGGTTTTTGGATATTTTGAAAAAAAAATAAAAAGTTAGTATTTGATTTAATGTATTGTGAGAAAAAAAATGTATTTGATGTGATGTTTTTTAAAAAATAAATTATTGTCAAATAAGTGAAAGTATGTTGCGTAAACAAAACTATATTTTACATGTTATTATAATAATTTCGATAGTTTATACATAAGATAATATTCTTTCGGTTTGAATTCAAAGTATTTTATTTTTTTTTTACCATTTTTATCGGTCTCACTCATAAGTATTATTATTTTTATTATTATAATAAACCTAATTAACACTAATATTAAAATACTATTAAATTTTACTTAAATTATAAATATATTATTTCCTCCTTTGATATTATGTCTGCTTTACTATACAGAATAAAAATAATTATAATTTAATATTAAATAATTAATTAATATAATTAAAATTAAAATAAGTTAAAATAAGATTAAAATGTATAAATTTTTTTCAAAAAATGAAAGTAACAAATAAGTGAAACTGACGAAAATAGAAAGATAGACATGATAAGTGGGACCGAACAAGTATTACATATATAATTAATTTACACATAAAATTAATAGACAAAAATATCAAAATCTCTTATATACTTTGGCGGTCCAATAAAATATCAAAAATGTAATTGTTCATTTAGTTATCTATTATACTGCTATAGGAAAAAAAAAATCGAATTTTAAAAGTATAATTGTCTATTCATTAATATACTTAATGTTGAAAATTGACAAATAAGTTTATAAGCACTCTATTGAAGAAAAATGAATTTAAATAATGTAATTGCTCAGTCTTGCTTAATTTTTTTTGTAAAATACAAAAAGAGTGAGTGCAAAAATTGTCAAGGGAGAAAGTAATATTTATAGGGTGTGTTTGTCTGGGGGTTTGGATTTTGAGTTGGGATTTGAATAGTAAAAATTTTGAATTTGAATAGTTGTATGATGTGATATAAATAGGGTTTGATGTGATGTTTTGAATGTAAAATTGATTTTTAATATAATATAAAAAATAAAAAATAGGTGTTTGATTTGATTTTTTGGGGAAAAAAAATTGAATGAATAGTGGAAATCCACCAAAATCCTTCAAACAAACACACCCATAGTATATGCATACTTAATTTAGACTTTATAATTTATAATCATTCCGTCACACAAAATACGGAGGATAAAATTTTATTAATTAGTGAAAGTATGTATAATAATATTAATATTTTTGTCTTTATAAATATAAAGAAAAATAAATATTTTTACCAAAGTTACAATTACTTTTATTTTTATATATTAATTACTTTTATTATAATAAAAAATTAATACTTTTGAGAGAATATATAAAAATAATAAAATTGATAAATTAGATTCGAACGAAAAGAATATTAAAGTTTAAAATTCTTCTAGTATGATTAATTAAAACATAAGATTTTTAGACAAATAATAATACTCCTCATGTCCCATTGGAAGGATACTATTTTTCATTTTTGTTCATCCAAAAAAAATATATATCATTTCCTAATTTAGTAATTTACTATCTACTTAACATAATTAATACCCTTAGGATTTCTAATATATTACACAAATATCATTACTTTTTTATCACACAATCTAATAAGGGCATTTTTGTCTTTTCTACTATAAATCAATATAATACTAATTTTCAAATATTTACGTGCAAAAAATAAATGTTACTCTTTTTGCGGGACGGAGGTAGTATAAAATTTCAAAATATTAATCACAATATACACTAAAAAATGAATTGAAAAAAGAAAGAAGTGAATGATTGTTTTAAAATACTTTCACGCATAATACATATTTCTATTTTGGATTATTCAATTATAAAAGTGATACTCTCTTCATTCTTCACCAATCTATTCATTTGGCAATTTTAGTTAGTTGGTCACAAATGTACCCGTTTTTATTTTAGTAAATGTACTTCCACTTAAGTATAAAAATACCATCATTTTTCATATAATATCACACAAATATCATTAAATAATAATATATTAAAATATAATGGTATAATAGTTTTTATATATGTAAATTATACTACATATTAATATTAATATACTAAAATCTACTTGCAAAAAGTAAATTGATATATCGGTGCCGATAGAGAGGGTATTTTATTTTTATTTTTACAAATATCCATATTTTATAATTACATTATTATTTTTACACAAAAAAAAAAATAAATAAAAGCAAAATTATTCTTACATCATTTTAATCATATACTGCTACTAAAATACTACTATTATTCCTTAAATTTCACATCAAAATATACTTCATCTCTCCCTTAACAATCTATCTATTTTTCTATTTTGATCCGTCCAATAATACAGTATTCATTTCTTTTTTCGGTAACTGGATTTTATACTAACATTAAAAATATCCTTACAACTTACAATATATTACACAAATGTCGTTATGTTTATATCACATAATACTAATAAGATTATTTTAAATTTTATAATTTTCTTAATTTTAATTAAATTATTTATTTATTTTAATTTTAATTTATAATTATTTTCACTAATATTTCTTAATTATCTATTAATTATACTTTTACCTAATTTTGATCATTTACATAATAAGCCCAAACTATCGAAAGCCGAAGGAGTAATATGACAAATAAAGATAAAATGAAAGAAAATGATTATACACAGGTGCGACGTGTTCAAGCTGCTGACGGACCGGCAGCTCCGGGAGCGCGGCGCCGGGGCGTCGGAAAAGCACTTCCCGTCGCGGATCTCCCTCCAGATAAGCCCGTCGGTGCAGACGAGCGTGCTGAGCGTGTCGGTCAGCAAGTCCACGCAGAACCCCCGCCGGGACCTCGGCGTCGAGAAGGGCATCGAGGCGTCGTTCGAGCCGCCGACGGCGATCGGGCTCCACATCTCCGCCGGCGAGTCGGTGACGACGACTCTGAAGCCATGGAAGTTCGAGCAGTCGGTCCACGCCAACACCGCCAATCTCCACTGGTTCCTCCACGACTCCGGCGACGGCCGCGAGGTGTTCTCCTCCAAGCCGTCCAAGCTCGCCCTCCTCCACCCCAAGGCCTGGTTCAAGAACCGCTACTCCAGCGCCGCCCGCCCCTTCACCCGCCAGGGCGGCGTCATCTTCGCCGGAGACGAGTACGGCGAGCGCGTCACCTGGCGCGTGGACCGACGCGCCGTCGGGCGGGCGATGGAGTGGGAGATCAAGGGCTGCATTTGGCTCACCTATTGGCCTAATAAACACCGCACTTTTTATACTGAGACCCGGAAGTTGGAATTTAGAGAGATTCTTCTCCTCAATTTGCCTTGAATGGAGATTCAAATTCGATTGTCGTATTCTAAATTCAATCAAATTCCTTGTATGATTCAAAACATTTATTTGAAATATATATATATATAATAATACGATGGAAATATATACACACACAAATGATTTGTTTAGTTGGTGAATATTTTTTTATTTTAGTTTTAACTTTAGTTTTTTTAATTTGAATATGATTCTTATATTTATTTTCATAGAAATTTACAGGTCGTGGCAATTCGGGCCGTCTGATTGCAAATTGGGACTACAAAGGTAGGCCCGAATACAATCCGGTTTGAAATCATGATATGCTATGTCGGTCCTTTTTTTTTATATATATATATTATATATATACAAATTTATTAAAATTTAAATATTAATTTAAAAATTGAGTTAGACCAGGTACAGCCCGGTTCAGTAGCATCCTGGGTTAAACACAACCCAAAAATTTTCGAATCTATATTTGAAGGTCCAAACACAAATTTTTTTTTGTGCAAGCATCGAGCTTTTGGACCTTACTTTGAAACTTATAAAATATAAATAGTAAATAAAAATTTGTATTTTTCTCCATTTCTAAATGAATAGAAAAAAAAATGAAACAAATAAAGCCAAAAAAATTTTATTTCTCTCTCTCAATTTCTATACACCAAACCTACCCTAATCTAAACTTCAAATCCCCTTCACATTCTGGTGTTGCACCACCAAAACCGACACCGGCATGGCAAGGTCCGGCGCCGCCAGCATGTCGCCGACGGGACCCATCTCCCGCAGGTCGTTCCACTCGCTCAGCCCCAACAGCTGCGGCGTATCCTCCCGGTGCCGCCGCCCGACCATTATGAGGTCGAACGCCTCCTCCATGGCGTGTATCAACAGCGCAGTCTCGGCCCCGTCCTTAACCCGCTCCTCCTTGTACACCATGTTGTCCTGATGCGCCCCCTGCATCCGCATGTCCTTAAGTATCTCGGCGTCGAGTACTGCGTCCCACTGGTTGTCCCCAGCGTAGATATCCCAAGGCACGAACCGGACAACGGTCAGATGCACGTCCGGCGACTGTGCCATCCGCTTTGCGTAGGCCAGCGCCTCGCGGTCGTCGTTCCCGCCGAAGAATGCGACCCCGACATTGTACGTCGGGGACGGGTTGCGACGCACCTTGTGGCGGTCGACGAGGATGGCAACGGAGCATGGAGCCATCTCCAGGGCGTCACAGTTGATCGCGCGGAGGCTGCTGCAGTCGAGGATCATCTTCCCCTGGTGGTTCCATTTCCGGTGGAACGGGAGGATTATCAGCGATGCGAGCTTGTTGAACGCGAGCGTGCAGATGTCATGGTGCATGAACTTTGTCAGAGACATCGCCGTGAACTGCTGGACGGCGACGAACCCCGCGAACTGCTGCTCGAACGCGGCGAAGATCTCGATCATTTTCTGGGTCCGTGTCCCGCCGGACGATTTCTGGCCGAGCTGGTGGTCGATCAACTGGGGGTGAGCGCGGCCAGCGAGCTCGACGAGATGGATGGCATAGACGGCGAGGGGGCTTTCTTTACTCGGGAAGGAAACTTCTAGAAGCTTCTTCGCGGCGAGAACGTCGTCGACGCGATGGGAGGAGACGAGCACGCGCAGCTCCGAGTTGAGGGAGGTGTGCTGAATGTCGCGCTTCTGGTAGCCGGTGTACATTCTCGAGCTGTCGTAGAGACGCTTCACGATGAGATTCGACGCGGCGGCTTGGGTCAGGACGGACATCGTCAGCATCGAGAAAGTTTCGGTGTCGAACGTCTGCAAAACATCATATCAAATGCTGCACTAAGTAGAAAAATCCGATCGAAGAAATCGTACGACACCTGATTTACGGCGTTGTAGTAATAAAACGACATCTGAACGACGCCTTGAGCGGTCATGATGAACGCGAGCGCTCCAGCATCTTTCACGGGCACGCCACAGAACAACGCCGGCACAAAAAATGCCGCCAATTTCATCAACAAGCAAAGGGAAATGACGAGCCACACAACGCCGATAAATCTAAGATCATAAAGCTCGATTAAATTCACGTTCATCCCGCAGTAGGTTACCAAGAGCGGTGCCAGCAGTCCCGACACGAGAGTCTCCAGCCTGTCGACAAGAGTCGACCCCAAAGGCGGCCCATCCGGAACAGCTAAGCCGAATAGAAACGGACCGTACTGATAATTAAGTCCCACATTGTCCGTAAACAAGACGACGACTAGGACCAAAGTAGCGACAAGAATGACGTGTATTCTGCTGACGGGCTTTCCTTCGGGGGTCTTCTGAACGATCCACAAGCAAATCGGCCGCCCCACGAAAAGGATAAACAAGATTAGACAGATCGTTAAGAATGTCGAGTGAATCATGATAACGCTCGCGAATCCCATCTGCCCGACTCTCCCTAACGTAATGACGCTGAAGGTAAGGTTGCTGACGAAGTCGCTGATCAGGGCGCACGCCAGCGCCAGCCTTCCCAGCTCCGAGTTCATAATTTTCAAGTCGACGAGCATGGAAGCGATCACGGGAAACGGGAACAAATTCTCAATCCCGACAATACTTTTAAACGCCGGCCACCGGTACCTGTGAATGTGTTTCTGATTCACAACACTCATAATCATGCCGCCGGTGATTGGAAGCGTTACCCCAAGAACGCCTATCGTCCAGGCCTTGACGCCGGTTCGCAGAACTGTTCTCGGATCCATCTTGACGCCACAAAGAAATATGAAGAAGATGTACCCGATTTTCGACAGCAAGTCTAAGTAGACATCCCCTTCTTTAGGAAACAATGCATCTTGAATACCGTCGATCTGTCCTAGGATAGTCGGTCCGAGGATTATTCCAGCCTGGTCGAAACAAATGCCGAGTAAGTTCCTCAAATTTCACACATATACATAGTCGATTATATACAGCAACGACGCCTGATAGCATCCTTAACATTCACAACATTCAGAGGCAGAGTACAGGGGAATTCGCCGAGGTTAATTTTCGATAATCTAAAGATTTCAATAAGTCCAGTTGAATTATAAACACCAGCAACAACAATGTCTAAACAATTCATGTATAGAAAAAGGTTTGAGATCAATAAGATTGCTTTTCAAGTATAAATCAAAATGTCGAACAACAAAAAGCATCAAGAGCTTCAAAATCATGTGATATTAATTTGGACTGCTTTAGGCATCGATCATAGACTTTCATATCAACGAAAAAGGTTAATAAATCCATGAAACCCTAATTGGAGACGAAAATAGAATTATTTCAATAAACTTGAAGAATCTTACTTGGATGGTTCATTCAAGCATTTTATCGAACACCTAACAGGCAAAGGAACAAGAACAAATTTCCATCCCCAATTATATGCATCGAAAGAAAGAACAAAGATGATAGAAACGCACCAGGATCTCGGAAACAAGGCGGGGCAAGTGAAAGCGGCGGAGCATAAAATGAATCGATTGGGTGAGAATGAAAATGATGGCGATTTGAAGCTGCAGGCGCGGCAAGGCGAAGTGGAGGATGTTTCTGGCGCCGGTCTGTCCCCAAATTCCGGTGGAGTGCAGTGCGATGTCGACGTAGCAGAAATCGTTGGTGACATTCCCGGGGATCTCCCGGCGTATATTTCTGTAAGATTCCGAGCTGTCGTCCATGGAATCGACGAATTGGAATCCTCCCCGATGAACGGATGGAGAAGGGGAAAAGTTTGAGGATCGGTGTCCTCATCTGTAATGTAGGGTGAAAGTTGATTCTCCGGCAACGGATGGAGCGATGGGATTCCCGCCGACAAATGTGGGCAGCCATTTGCGATGCCAAAAGCTGTTTTTTTGGGACTTGGTTTTATCATATTTATATTTTGTGATATCTATATTGACATTTATGTACATATAATTTTTCCTACGTGCTGAAGAAATTATTATTATTATTATTATTATTATTGGGACAGCTATTTTTGGTGAGTGTGTTGATGTATGAGACATGTCTTTTATTCACAGCTTATGTTTGTTTGGAGATTTTATATATATATATTTTTTTATATTAATATTCAATTTTAATTCAAAATATTATAGTATCAATTTTTATCTATATTCTATTATACCATGTGTATTTATATCACATGATTAATATGAATGACTAACTTTTATGAAGCTGAATAGGTTAAAAAGTCCATATTTTAAAACAATTTGTTAGTGGGTTTTAGTAAAGTTTAATTTGAATAGTTATTTTACTTGATATAAATAGAAGTTGAGGTGATGTTTTGAATGTAAAATAAATTTATAGAAAAATAATAATAATGGTAATTGTTTGATGTGATATTTTTTTTAAAAAAAAAATTGAATAATAAAACATGTGTTAAAACCACAAAATAACACAACCTAACTTATTCTAGGTGTGTATTTTTCTGTCAAATTTATCCCCACTTTATTATTTGAATTTTATATTTTTTTTAAAAAAATATTTTTTACAAAAATATGTCACCAATTATTATTTGAATACTAAATTCAAACAAATTTTCTCAAAACACACCTCGCACTTGTTAAAAAGGCAATAAAAAACTAATTAAAAAATAACAAAAAACCAACTTAAATAGAAAAGCTAACAAAACCTCATATGTCCTTTTTACATTACACACCATAATTTAGAAGAAGTATAATTAATAAATAATTAAAAATTTAATAGTGAAAATAATTATTATACAATAAAAATAATTTTAGATTATAATTAAAATAATTAATTAGTCAAATTAAAATTTAAATAATTAAAATGAGTTTAAAATGTATAAATTCTTTAAAAAAAAACAAAATGACAAAATTAATAGGACATATGGAAAAAGAAAGATGGAAGGAGTAGTAAATAGAAAAACAACTAAATAAAAACTAATTCAAAAAAAAAAAAAAAAAGAAAGGACAGCTAAGCATTTTTTAACAAAAAAATAAAAACAAGCTTTAATTATTTAAATAATTAAATTAGATTTAATCTTTAAAAAAATTATGATTTCAGAAAATAAATTAAATTATCATTATATAAAATAAAATTAACCATAAATATTACAAATATATATATATATATATAAATAATGGACCTTTAAAATATTGTAGGACTTCTACAATCTTTTATAAGATTTTACAAAAATCTATGTATAGTTCGAGACACCAATACTAAAATACTAAAATATTTTTAATTTTTATAAAAATATAATTTTTTTTGTATTTTCAATGACAAATATGTCAAAATCATCTTTAATCTACTAAAATAAAAAAATAAATAAATAATAAACAGATACATTGAGTTTAGGCCGATGGAATATATAAATATAATAGGTTTATCAAGGGTTCAGTTACCCTATCTTCAATGTATTATATCTTGTACAGGGTAGGGTAAGTGAGCCAGTTTATTATTAAGAATAAAAGATGTTGGGGCGTTTGGTTAGAATTTTGAGTTTGAATACTAAAAATTTTAATTTAACTAGTTTTATAAAATCTAAATATGTATTAATATAATTTTCGAAAAAATGTAAAAATAATTTATTCGTGCAATATAAAATAAAATTTATAGATTGGGCCGGATCCCAATCAAACACATCCTTATTTTATTTTAGTTTTTATTTATAACTAAATATAAAATGTAACCCATCATCGGTGCGTGCAGTATTTTGGGCCAGCCCAGTCCCCAATTAAAGAGTCGTTAAATATAAATAATTGTGCATTTTAATTAATATAATTAAACATAATAATTAATTATTGCCCACGGTCAATTGATATAAAGAGGATGAGAACGATGACGTGTGTCACGTGACAGCATTGGATAAGGCTATTTTGGAAGCAGTACACGCCCGCCCCCTGTCTGTCTCTCACGCCCCCCTATTATCTTGAATAAAGCACGTGCCCCATCACGTGCAGCAGTTCAGTCCAAACCGACCTTTATTTATTTATATACGGAGTATTATTTAAATTAGACTCAATGAATGAATGATAAATAGCCTCCTTCTTCTTCCTCAGTCCTCACTCTCACTTCGGCCCCTTTCTTTCCTTCGAGATTCCTTCATCAAGGTAAATCACACTTCTCTCTCTCTCTCTCTCTCTCTATATATATATATATATGTATATGTATGTATGTATATGTGTAGCTGTTGTTGATCTATGAATCTGTGAAGGTGGATTTGCAATTGAAAATGGTGACGTCCGTACTGAACCCTAACGCGCCGATGTTCGTGCCGTTGTTTTACCGCGCGGTGGAAGACTTCTCCGACCAGTGGTGGGACCTCGTCCAGTCCTCACCGTGGTTCCGCGACTACTGGCTGCAGGAGTGCTTCTCCGATCCCCAAACCGACCAATTTCTCGATGCTCACGTAGACGACGACGAGGTTCTCAGCGAAATCGCAGTTTCCAAAAGTAAGCGAATCCTTCAAATACACCTCCGATCCAATTACTGTTATAACTCGCATAGTCAATTCACTCCGCAGGAAAGGAACCGCGCATGGATCTGGTGGCGCTGGCGTCGTTAAGGTGGAGAAGGCCGCCGCGAGCGGCGGATCTGCCAAAGTACTCCGAGAAACCGCCCAAATTCGTGAACGTGAAGACTCGACCGAGTCCGAGGCCGATCCAGCAGCCGCGCTAGACCGGGTCAGGAATCGCACGGAGCTTAACACGCTTTTGGTACCGTTTCCGCTCTGTAAATAGCGACTTTAGCATTGTCGACTTCCTACAGTGATGTTTTCACGATTTCTGTGCATTCAATTAAACTTTAGATATAAAGTCGCGCTTTCAATTATAATGGTATTATTCATTCTTCGAAAAAATATCCAATCAAATACCAATTAGAATATTTGGAATGAGCGAGCACACACATTAATTACTAATTTTTTACTTATTTTATTTTTCAAAAATTCCAAAAAACCTTTGTCTAAACAAAGCTCAGGTCAACTCGAGAATTCAATGAATTATCTAAATTAAATCTGAGAAATTTATGGTTTATTGTACATCAAAATGTCAAATAAACTGTATACAGGAAAGAAAATTCAAAATGTTAATAGTACATAGACAAATACAAACAACAAACAAAATATCTTGAGCGAATACTCGAAGAAAATGGGCTATAACATAAACCCCCATGGATTGCATCCTTACCATCAATTTTAACATAATTTCATTAATCCTGCAAGCAAATAAACGATTTCGTCGATTAACCAACCGGGAACTCAAAGATCAAATCTTTTCGGGGTATAGTAAGCATTTCAAATACAAAGATATTGGAATGGCTTATGTTACCTTTATAAAGGTCTATCCAGCATCTTCCTTCGCATCCTCGGAATCGGAATCACTGGCATTATAACCTAAAGCAGAAAATTGTGAAATCGAGCAAAACATAAAAACATATTGAAAATTGTGAAATCGAGCGAAAAATAAAAACATATTGATCGATACATTGCAGGTAGAACATAGGCAGGTATATACCGGGATGTTTATCGCCGACTTTCCATGCTGATGACCGATGCCTTGAGGCTCGGCTAATCCAAGCTCTTCCCTACAAGAACAAACCTTGTGAGTTTAAATACACCAAACTATGGCTCCAAACCAAAACCCATTGATTTCCAATCTCTAGCACGATCCCGGAATGCCAATTGGGTTTTTCTTCATTTGTAGAATAACACAAGAAGCAAAACAAGATAGCAAGAAACTGAGATTTCACGGCTGCCCGAGTCCGAAATTTGCCTTTGCTTTGTCTTCCACTTAAACTTACAAATTACAACCCCACAAAGTTTCTTGTGTTGTGCATAGAAGAAATAAAAGATATGAAACTATTAGATTGAGTTTACACGGAGCTGCGGGTTTCTACGTTATTAAGAAAAAATATATATGAAGCTAATGGGATAGACGTGACAGTGGGATCATGAAATCAAACCTTATACCTAATAAGACTTGACTTATTGTATCTAGTTTACAAACTATTACGTTCGACCGGAGCTTTACCCAAATGGCGCATAATGTGACTTGGCTTATTGTATCTAGTTTGCAAACTATTAAGTTTAGTTTAACCCGGAGCTTTACCCAAAGAGCCAATACAAGGAGTTCCCAAGTTATCAAAAAATAAAAAATATATAAATAAATATGAAGCTAATTGAATCAAACTAGCCATTCATCACACAAACACGCAACTTTCAACTCTATGTAACCACAATTGCAAACCTAATAGCCCCACAAAGACACAACAATAAAATCAACAAATAATAATTATGATAAGGAGATTCAGTTTGTACCAAAGAAATCTCTAGAACTTATTACTTTACATAACCCCAATTTGAAGAAAGTAACAATTTCAAATCTCAACAAATTACACTTAAACATAAACAAACAAATTTAACCAACAATCTACACACCAAATCTATCATCCTAAAAAATATTGAGTAAAAAATATCACCAAAGCCAAAACAATCAAGCCAGACTCACCTTCTGCGCGTCTCTGGCGACGCCATAACCGCTGTAATACATCTGGGCGACGAGGACCTGCATAGAAGTATCGCCATTCTTAGCCTCCTTCAGGGTGTCCTGGAACCACCGCTTGACGCAATCCTCGACGACCTCCGCCAGCGGCATCCTTTGCCGGCGCTCCGAGTTCTCCCCGGTCTCCATCCGTATCCTTAGCTCGTGAGAGTCGAATTTGGACAGAGTCGAGTCAGGGGAAGAAACGGCGGTGGGTAGGGAGTTCAATTGGAGGGGGCGGCGGCGGCGAGTGTCGGCGGAGGCTACGAAGCGTGCGAATTGATGGAGCTTGGGAGGAGACGATATGGATTTGCCCATAAAGAAATGGGATTTATAAATCTTTAAAGGGGATTGGGATTTCTTGAGGAGGAGGGATTGACAAAATTGGGGTTCTTTTGGGTAGAGATTAGGGTTTTAAAAGGGCTAGTGGGAAAATATTTCCAATTTTGTCGTTTAGCTAGGGATATTAACGTTTTTGGTGTTTGTTTGTAGTAGATTTTAAAATAATAATAATATTTTATTAATTAGTGGAAGTATGTAAAATGTTTTGATATTTTTGTTTTTTTGATTGGATGAAAAAAGTAATTATATTTAGCAATGGTATGTTTGTAATTTATGTAAAAGTTAAGAGTATTTTAGTATTGGTGTATGATTAATCACTTTTACTAAAATAAAAATAACAAATGAATACTTTAGAGTGAAACGGACGAAAATAATAAAAAATAGTACTTTGAGTTGGAACGGATGGAATATTTATTTTCTTTTTTAGTCATAATACTATTTATATGTAATATTACAAATACCCTTCTAATTTTTTATAAAAGATATATATTACATTAAATATTTATTATTATATCAAAACTATTTTAAATTTTAAAATTTTCAAAATCTTTTAGCTAAATTAAACTATATTTTTGTTGATTTGTGAATAACTACTACCTTGCAAGTAATATATTCGTAATGTATAAAAAATCTTCTAAAAATCCAATATAAGATATAAGAAATTCTTCTTGTGTTCGGAATAATTTTTTTTATTGTCTATTAGATTTAAATTTATATATAATTTATTTATATTAAATAATTTTTTTAATTCATAATTTTAAATTTTATTTTTAACAAATAATAATTAATTTGTTATTATTTTTTCTATTTATTTCACTATTTTATTATTAAAATTTTAATAGATTTCCTATAATCTACTTTACTTCTTTATATGTCTTATTTTTATATTAAACTATTTTTTTTAACTTCGAATATTGTGGCATAAATAATCAGGACAAAAAAAAAAAAAAATACTATCTCCGTCCGTCCGATTCTAAGGGTCCAATTTACTTTTTGCGTGTTAATATTTGAATATTAATTATTGTATAAAAAACGTAGTAAAAATTAAAAAAAATTATAAAAATACTTTTATTAGTGTCTTATAATATTAAGAGAATGACATTTTTTTTAAAAAAATATATATATATATAAATATAAATATATTTTTAATATTAAGTACAATGGTGCAAAAGATAAATGTGACTTTAGAAACAGACACATGGAGTATTAAAGTGACAGGTGTGTTTGTTTTGTGAGATTGTTGGAAAATAATTTTTTTTTACGTGAGATATAAAAAATTGTATAGAGAATATAAAAATAATAAATGTGTATAATGTATTAATATTTTTAGAAAAATACGTGGACAAAAAATAAAAAAGAACAAAAAGTAAAAGAAATCAATTCAAACATAATATATTTGAGCCCAAAGTCCAATAATGGAAAAATCAAAGGCCTTGTATAGCAAAACAAATTGATCAACACAAAAAGCACATCAGCCCAACAAATGTAGGCTGAATAAAAAGCTCTCTCTATGGATGCCATCCCTATTAATTGTTAGTTTTTGTTTTGACATTATTTTTTTTAGTAATATAATTTTATTATTATTATTATTTTTTTGATTAATATGGAAACCTGCAATCGTTACCGAAAGTGCATACTGGGTTAATATAATTTTAATTATTTTAAAAACTATTTTGGCTGTTTTTTTCTTTAGTTTAGAATATCTTTATAAATAGTATTTGGAATGATAAATTTATAGAAATAGTGTGTAAAAATAAAGAAAATTACAAATATTTTCTAAATTAAAAATAATGTACTAAAACTTTTAGACCTTAAGTCATTGAACATATTATTTATTTATTTAGGCCATCTTTAACTAGAAATTCTATTTATGTTGTTTTAATTCAAAAAATACAGTTGTTATAATATTTTTATTTTAATCCGTAACTCTATTTTTTACTCCAAAAAAAATATTCTTCAAATATTCTATATATTTCTTTTTTAAAACCATTTTCTATTTTTTACAATTAATATTATTTTTTTTAAAATTAATAAATACTGTATTAATTAGGAAATAATCAACACTGTAACTATTACCATTATTTAGTGAAAAAAAGGGTTATTTGAATATTGAAATTAGCTCTCCCAACTTCATTGAAGTTGTTGATGTAATTAGTTAGTTATAAAGCCTCCCTACCACTCAAAGTAATTATTTTGAACATTAGACAGTGCTACGATTTCCGACTATTTTAGCCATGATAATTATATTTACGGGTCGACTAATTGCCTCTTCAAATATCCTTTGATTTTATTAGTATTTTGAATGGTATTAATTAAGTAGTGTTGGCTACAACAAAGAAAATTTAATTCAAGTTCTTGATTAAAAATTTAAATTTATAGTCTAGGATTTCTTATAACTATTGGCTTGTCAATTTATTTGGCGCGCACACACACAATTGCTCTAATTTTTTCACCTATTCTACACTTAACCCTTTGCAGTTAACTTTAATATCTCAGTCAAGCAGTGAGACATCTTTCGCTTGAGGGTTGGGTCCCAAGTTTCAATTCTATTTTGTTAAAGAACTTAAAAACAAAGGCTTCATTTAGATATAAGTTTTGGAATTTTTAGAGTTTATTTTTTTTTTTAGAATAATAAAAAAATTAATATTTGATGTGATATTTTGTTAAATAAATACGATATTTCACGTTATTTTTCTATTTAATGAAAAAGTAGAGTTTGTTTGTTTTGGTTTTTTTTTTTCAATAGTATTTTTTATGGAATTTTTGTGAAAGAAAATAATATATATTATTAAAAATTGTGCAGAATAAATAATATAATTTCTTATTTAAAATAAAGAGACACCTCTAGTATTGGTAAATAGTATCAAAAGTTTAAAAAATATCTAAATAAACTCAGCTAACACTTGTGGTTTTTGAATTAATGATTAGAGAAAAAGTATTATTATTTATGTCATCCAAATTTATACAATTTTTTTTTATTATCATAAAATAAAAATATTTTTGTTTTTTTTCCAATAAAAAAGTATACCAGTTTGTATATTTTTTTATTGTAAAAAAAAAAAACCTTATTATTACACACTTTAAAATATTTATATATATAGTTACATTTTAAATAGAGCTAATCCTGAACTCACAAATATATATGTATATATTATTACATCATTAAATTAATTAAGTTCCCAAAATATGATGTATAATTAGGGTGATGCCTGCCAAATCATTTATTTAATTAAAAAATTAATATATATACATACATCGAACTACATTAAAATTAAGCCTAACAAAAACACCATCTCTCTTAAATAAGTTTGTCGAGAAAATTGCAAAAAATATATTTTTTCATTATCACTTTTATCTTATATTTATTTTCTGACAATTTATTCTACATGTTTGCAAAATATATTCACACCGCGCATGGTCACGCGAGGCTAAGCGCGACGAAATGATAAATATAAAATAAAAGTGACAATAAGGTGTATATATATATAAGATATTTTTTGCAATTTCCGTTAAGTTGGTCATATGAATAATGCGCGCATATATATATATATATATAATCAAGCCTAACACCTTTCTAATTTAGTGTCATAATTAGGCCGCATATACCAAATTTCGATTTTATTTCATTCTTTAATAACCTATGATTAAAGATGAAAAAAGAAAAAAAATACTTAAATTTATATATAGGGAAGAGCCGTATTTCATAAACAAATTATTGCATATTGGTTTAGTTCATTTAATAATATATATTTTTAAAAAATAATATTTTATAAAAAAAATATTGTATTTTAATAAAAATCGTACATGAATAATATTGATTTCAATTTAAAATAACAATAGAATATATTTTCTCCTATTTTTGTTTTTTGTTTTGCTTTTTCTTTTTTTAATTTTTAATTTTATATTATTAAATATTTGTATACTTTGGGTCTATTTAGTTATCTCATGGAATATCAATTGATTTTATACTTTTATTTTTTTCAACACAATTTTTTTTTTAATTTTTTAAATATATAATTTTCTATTTCTCTATTTTCTAAACTCTCATATATATATATATTTAAATTTTATAGACTAATTTTGTTAAATATGTATAAATAGTTAGTTATTTGTTTGTATTATGTAAAATTTTGTTTTCATTGAAATTATGTCTATATTGATTTTATTATCGTATGTTTTGTAAAATTATTAAAATAAAATCTAAATTTATTTTTAAATCATAACTGAATTAGCAATCAATAATCTACTAAGCGAATTATGTGTGGTAAACAAAACTTATCGTTAGAGTTTGAACTCATGAACTAATGGTCACAAGTTCATCCCATACTGCGGGATTAAAAACGATAATTTATTTTTTGTGTGGGACTAATTTTGATAATTATTTTTAAATAGACCAAAAATGAAATAAAAAAATTGATTTGATTGTGATCAATAATGATTTTTTCTCTAAAAATAACTATTTTTTAACTATATTTACTATATCTTAAGATTAAATAATAATAATAATGAGTATATCGGTAATTTTAAAGATTTAGAAATAAAGATTATAAAAATTATTTGTATTTTGGTGGCATACAAGTCAAATAACATTAAATAAAAACGCTCGAGAGGGTTACACGCGGAATTTATGAAATCAAAAGTAAATTTGACACAATTTTTAAAGTACGAAGAATTTTGTTCAATTTCGTAAAATCCGGTGGAATTGCCTTTTTCTTTTTATTCTTTATCATCTCATTGGGGATCCTCTCGCCCACACCGAAACTCACACGCACCTGATTACACCCTCCAAAATCAATCTCAACCGTAGATATAACAACAACGTGATATCTCACAGAAGAACAAACGCACACCGTCAGTTTAGCAATTCAATTTGCCGTTACCGTTAGAGGCACGTGACCGTAGCGTCCAAACGGCATCGTTTCAGATAGCGAGCACGTGGCCGGGTACGGACTTCCCGACCCGATTAGAAAGGCTGCTCTCCCAAACGGAGGAGAAATGTACCGGCGCCGGCGCCGCAGCCGAGCTATCTGATTGGTCTGTCACGCCGATCCGCGTGACAGTCAGGGAACTGTTGAAGTACTCCCGGACCTCGATGATCACACCGTCGGCTGTCAAAGTCCAGGCGTGGACCCAGGCGATGTCGCCGGACTGGTTAAAGCCCTCGGCGACGACGGTGGTGCCGAAGGCGGAGATGCTGTGGGGGACGAATCGGAAATCTGATTCCTGCTCGCCGCCGGTGAGGATTCGCATCAGAAACTGGTGCGCCGGCGGACCGTGGAACCACCACTCGAGGTCGGCGGCGAGAAGCTTCTGGATGGCGTCGGCGTCGCGGCGGTTGAGGGCATCGTAGAGGGCGGCAACCGCCCCCTTGGTTCTAGAATCTTCAAGAATTGGCGCCAGCTCTTTTGAGGAAGGTGTGATCTTTTTGTTCTTTGAGCTTTGATCGAGGATAATGGAACAGTTACATGTGGGAAGAAACATTTCTTTATATTGAGAGGGAAGGGTATCACGGAGATTTCGCAATAGAATTTATCTAAGATTGTCTTGTCCTATTTACGGGATTTGATTTTCGATTTTACTATTAATTTTTTTTTCTTTCAAAAATATCAAATCAAATATCTAATTTTTATTTATTATATTATATTAAATTAAATTTTACATTCAAAATATCATATCAGTACATATTTATATCACATCAAACAACTATTTCAATTCAAAATTTTACTGCTTAAAACCAAAACTCAAACTCAAAATCAAAAACTTACGGATAAATTGATAGTTAGAAATTGCATGCGTTTTATATTCATATCATATGCTTTGAGTGATTTTGATTGGATTCTATCTAATTTATATGCGAATTGTTTATTTGCTGTGTGTAGAGGGCAAATATCAAATTTGGCATAATTGGCAGAAAAAGGGAAGAAAAATTCAGATCTGCACAACCTAGTTAGTCATGACCATGACTAACTACACCCTCTTCGTATGATAAATTAATTAAAGGCCTAAAAGCCCATCTACAAAATAATTAGGGCAAAAAAATTAAATAAAAGGGGGGAACACACGGAAGAGAGAACGGCTATGGCAGAAACGCACATGAGCAAATCCACAGAGAAGATTTCCCCCTCCCACTATGACTTCATCTTTCTCTTTTATTCTTTGTTAGATACTTTTCTGGTTTGAGGGGCGATAATGTTTTGGTTCTTTTGTTTTGGAGATTTTTTATTTTCTTTGTAAAAGTTCTTTTTTATTATCAATATTTGTCTAATTCTGAGAATAACGTTTGTGATTGTTAGATTGATTGAATATTTTGGTATCGACATTTAAATTAGTCTGATAATCTAAAGTCAATTCAGGTAGGATATCCGTAATTGTATTCGCACTTGAATAGGTGACAACCGGGTTGAATAGTTCATTCCCGGGGGTTAGACAATCAAATCTAATTGCTCATCTTAGGTAGTAATTGTTTTGAATTGGGTTTTTCTAGATTGGAATGCGGTTAGGCAATATTCTTAGGGGCGCACCTAGGTTTATTTGCTTAATTAAAGGTAGTTAACGGTCGTACCTTAATTACCTACACTCTAAGAAAAAATTGGTTGTTAAAGCTTGTTGATAACTATAACCAATTTATTGATACTTTAATAAGAATTAACTTTATTGAATTTATGATAAAACACAAGTGTCATAACTGCATCATCCCTTAAGCCAGACATCTCATTGATAGTCAGTTCCCCTTTAATTTAATTGCTTTGTTATTTTATTTTAATTAGATAATAAAAGAAAAATCTCCTTTATTTACTGCATTAGAATAGTGAATCACACAATCCCTGTGGAGACGATCACTTCCCCTGTATTACATTAAATTGTGATCACGGATTAGATGAAATATTTGATTGACTGCGCGACAGGTCATAAATACACCGGTTGTTTTTGTATTTTTGGAGAGAAAAATTAATTACTATTATAAAACAAATAGGATAAGGTAAACAAGCATTAAAAATACAATTAAACAAATTCATTGAAATAAATTAGCATATTTTTACAAAAACGTGACATTATATAGGAAAAAAGTTATTTTAAACATCTCATTATATATATATATATATTTCAATATATAATTATAGTAAAATAATTATTTAAATAATATTTAGCATAATATTTATTCTACAAATAAAATATTCAAATATTTTTATTTGTTATTTTATATATAAACAACTAATATCAGTTGGTTTACTAAATACTTTAACACAAATAACTGATAGAACCTGCTAGTCAAATCATCTGACCAAATAAGCTAATTACTAATGACTACTCAATCAGTTAACAACTAATCAAATTAGCTAATTATCAACTAATTATCAAATGCGTATGAATATCTAAAGAATATTAATAAAATTATGAAAAAAAAATAAAAATTGAGTGAATCAATAAATATAGGAGATAAGTATTTCAAAATAATAAATATTTGCAATTAATTGATTACAAAAATAATTAGGATTTAGGGCGGAATCTAAGTGCCACAGGCCTAAGGTAATTAAGTGATTATGTACATAATTGCAATTAATTAGGATCCAATATTGCATTGTTGCCATTTTCTTTTATATTTACTTTTTGCGTGTTGATATTTGAATATTAATTATTATATCTTAACGTAGTATAAATTAAGAAACAAAAATACTTCCATTAGTGCCTTATAATACTAATAGAGGAATATTTGTACCAAATAATATACAAATATAAAGATATTTTTAATATTAATTACAATGACGCAAGATGAATGAGACCCCTAGAGCCGGATAGAAAGAGTATTTGTTTATGGTGGAGGTTTTGGTGAGCGTTCAGGAACCTACGACTATGTTGTTTTATATGTATAATTAATTCGTTGCATATATATCATGAGTTCCCAAATATTACATCTAAGTGTAATCGACGAAGTTTTGAGTGCGATGAACTTATTAGCCAATATTTAGTGTCGGTCGGGATCTCTGTGAGCGTTTAATAAAATTATGATTATATCATTATATATTTTTGTTTAATCTTTTTATTAATGATTATTAAAATTTTATTTTAATCATAATCTCTTGAATAAAAAATATTAGATATGGTATTGATGTATATATATTTTAAAAACACCAATTGTTACGTATGAAAATTATAATTAGCTTAAAAAAGCCCAAGCTAGAAAGGGAGATGTGCCTATGATTGGGTATGTTAGATCGATCAGGTAGTGTTTCGAGAAAATCGGGTGAGATAGACGTATTTCTGAGGAAATAGCGGCTCGAAAGGTCCGCAGGTCGGAAGGTCCGCGGGTCGGAAAGTCAGCAAGTCGGATGGTCCGCAGGTCGGAAGGTCCGAAGGTCGGATGGTTCGCAGATCGGAAGGTCCGCAGGTCGGAGAGTCCACAGGTCGAAAAGTCCACAGGTCAGACGGTCTGCAGGTTGGATGGTGTGCAAGTCGGACGGTCTGTAAGTCGGATAGTCCGCAAGTCGGGAGGTTTGCGGCTGGACCAACAAGTCGGGAGGTATGCGGTCGGACCAACAGGTCGATTGGTTGGTGGTCGGATAGGCAAGTCGGATAGTCCGCCAGTCGGGAGGTTTGCGGCTGGACTAACAAGTCGGGAGGTCTGTGATCGGACCAACAGGTCGGTTGTTGTGGAAGTCGGATGCACTGCGGAAAGCAAGTGAGAACACTAGCTTGGTCGGCTGAAAACACGTGTCAGCTGAAGAGGAGGTAGCGAACGGTTAAGAGAAATATTGTAACCGTTCGGGCGACGGTTCCAAGTACCGTTTCTGAAGGGTATTTAAGGATTGGTATTTGCAACTGACAGGGTATCTTCAATTATCGTCAAGTGACATCAAAGTCAAGAGATTCGGGGATCATCATTTAAATTTCCAGTATTTTACTTTCCAGTTTATTTTCTGTATCATATGTTTAGAGATTTCTAATCTCAGACACTAAATATATCAAATTCGAAAATAATTTCCTATTTCTGAATTTTACTTTTGTTTGTTGAAAAAATACATTGACACTAATAATCTACTTATTTCCTCCTTTTGGAATACTTATGTTAGTTTGCATTTTTTTTTTAATTATAATTATCACCTAAAGTTATGTTAGGCTTTTTATATTATTTAATAACTTATAATTTTATTCTTTCTACTTTAACAATTTATAATCAATGTGTTACGCTTTTTTAAACTTAATTGCCTCTTACTTTTTTCTTTTTTTTTTTAAAAAAAATCTAATTCATTACAAAACCCTAGTTTTCTTTTTTCTATTCAATTTTTATATTAAAATATTATATTCTCTATTTAAAAAAATTAGTGAACTATAACTTAAACTTACAAGTTATTTTCCTCGTAATAAGAAAGCCAAACTATTAGTATTATTATTTAAATATATATATATTAAAAAATAATATATTTTAAACAAATCTCAATAATTAAATACTAAATAAATATAAATATATAGAAGATTAGAGAGAAGTAATCAAAGTTCTAATGTGAATAAATATATATATTCTACACATTTTTAAAATATTATAAATATTTCTTTAAAATAAACTTAAATGGTTAATATCAAATCTAATTATCCATCAATTTTTTCTATAAAGTGTGCTAATAAATTGATATAAAATTCAAATACTTAATTATAATATATATATTTTAAAAATCTTAATTACTTTTAAGTAATAGATATATATTATAAATTTATAAATTTAAAATTTATAAAATATATAAGTATCTTTTATATATTTTTATTTCAAAGTTATGAATTAAAGAGAATTCTTCTAAAAATTAAGTTTTCATATGTATCAATTTTTATTTTTGTTTCTTTGTAAATATTTTGTTAATTACATCAGAATAAAATAGAAAAGAAAACAGAAAAATTGGGCAAACAATTACTTAGGATAAAATGTGTCAATGTCGTAATAATTAATTTATATTATAATTTGTCATTGTTTTCGATATTTACTGTTTGATTAAAAAATAATTCGATAAATTAGGATTATAAACCTATTCAACATGTTTACCATTGTTATATAAGTATTAATATATATATATATATATATATTTAAAAGATAAAAGAATAAACGTTTGGTTTATGTAAAAATAAATAAATCTCGACCCTAGATCTCACACAAATTTGATATTTCGACCTCAGTCCATTCATCAAAAGTGAAAATGGATCTGTATATATAAAGTTCTTATTCATTACAGGACTTGTTGAGCTATCAATGGCTATGGGCATTGATGCCAAAAGGGATATGTTTTGAGAAACAAATTTAAAATAAAAATTTGATTCAGGTTATGACGGAGGTCCGAGACTATGTAAATACTTCCTTGACAGTAATGCAAATTGGCAGATTATTCGGACCTTGGTGATCACTCCATCAGCCCTCACAGTCCAGGCTAGCGCCGAAAGTAGACATATTTTGGGGATGAATATTCAAACTCTAAAGTAGTAGATCCATTTTCTTGGTCGAAGCGGCGGTTATTACGTTCTTCCGGAGACTTCTTGATCAAAAGTAGTAGATCCATTTTCTTTTCTTCTTCTATTCTTTCTAATGACGTAGGAATTTACAGTCACTGCTCGAATGTGCGGACTGTGTAAACTTTCATTTAATATCCGGTAAACTAAGCCCGATAAAGTAAAACTTCGCGTAAAGTGTATGATTAATATTTTGAAGAGGGTATTATTGGGATATATATATATTATTTACACAAGAAGGGTATTATGAGAATGTGAAGATGCATGATGAAATTAAACCTAACTGAAAATTTAACCCTAATAATATTATTTGCTTTTGTTTACGTTCTTGTTGATTTATATAGTAATTGATTGATTGATTGATTAATTATTTACTGTTAATATAATTAAGCATGGTTGGTTGGTTGGTTTTTACTGTTAGAGGAATTCATTTGGAAACTTAATATATAATGAGTTGAAATAATAATAATAGTTTCTTCAATTCTTATTGCAATTTAAGAATATCGTATGATTGAAAATTGTTCCACCATGTAAAATATTTAACAATTATTTTTACACATACTTTATTCATTTTCATAGAACATTGAATATTTGTTAATGATTTATATACTTATACTTTATGTATAATAATATAAATATGTGTATATTAATTAAATTTTAAATGATTGTAATTGATTAATAATATCATCAATTAAGTGCAATCGTGAATTTATTTTAATTTGGACAAATATTGCATGTGGCAGGGTTGGAATTGGACTGGACTCATTCCACTTATAGAGTATTAAATTTTACTTAAAAAATAATAATTTTTTTTTAATGGGTATAAATTTAAATAACAAAAAGAAAATAATATTTGTTGGAAAGTGATTTATCGAACAAAACACCTTCGAACACTTCAAATGGCCAACTTCCAAAACGTAGTTGGTTTACAATTTAAACGACGTCTTAACAACAAATAACTATGCAGAACTCAAAACAACACATGAGATAAGATATTTGTTGACCAGGTTCAATTATCAACTAATACACATTTAGAGATACCAATCCATGAGAGATTCTAACAATCACAACTCCTTCTACCCACACTCCTATTATGGATAACATAGGACAAAACTTCAACAAGGTTCACATTGCCGCAACCTCACAAACACCATACATCAGAGTAGCTTAGAGTCTGATCATTATCTCCGGTTGGAACTCTATTAACTCCGATCACCGTCGACCTCACCGGTAGAATTTAGTGTAAAATACTCTTTTAGAATATGAAAAATAGAAATGAATAGGTGGTGAAAGCTTCACTCAATAATCTTTTCTCTAAAACAAATACACAAATTCACTCAGAACCATCCACTTTCTTTCTTTTTGGATGTATAATCCATATGCATTTTGGATATAACAATTTCCTCATTAATTTTCCTATGCATGAAATGGGATGGACTGATTTAGGGTTTAGGGTTTAGAGTGATCTTCAATGAATCTGCACGATTTTGACTACGGTTGAATAATGTCAAACCTATATTGCAAACTGCACCAGGATTACAGTGACAAACTTTCTGTAACTTCAGAATATTTAAATAAAAGACTTCCTGTTGAAAAAAATAAAGCACAATGGTCCATATGTCAAAATTAAGTTAAATAGTGTATATTCATACACTATAAGAAAAAATTATTTTTGTAACAAAACTTTTTTGTCTCTAAATTTACTTTTTTCGTTACTAATGACATTAGAGACGGAATTAGGAACGGAATTACGTTAGCTACGTGAACTTTAGAGACGGAATTCTGTTACAAATATATTATTTTTTTTGTATTTTTGTTCAAAAGTAAAAAAAGAAAAAAAAAATCATATTATTTTATTGTAAAATGTCAAGCGCAATTATCATTGCATGTCCATATATATATATATATATATATATATATAGGTTACGTTCTCATTTCTAATAAATTAATAAATTGTTGAAATATAACTAAGCAAGTATAATAAAAAAATAAAGGGGTCAACATAGAACTAAAAGTTGGGGTTAATTTCCAATTGGCTCTTCACTACCAACACATTCTCCATTTTGCCCTTTATTCATTACTGAAATTCCCATAATACCCTTAACCAATTTTCCTATATATAGCGGCGAAGCGTTTTTCTTCCTTACTGTACGTCTCTAAACTGCAACTGCAAGCAAAGCTTCCATATCAATCCTTCCGCTGGCGCTAACTCAGCAAATTCTAGAAAATTCTAGAAGCATGGCGGTGGTAACCGCCCTCTACGACGCCCTCAACCGCCGCGACGCCGAGACCATCCAGAAGCTTCTCGCCGCCGACCTCGAGTGGCGGTTCCACGGCCCGCCGTCGCACCAGTTTCTGATGCGACTCCTCACCGGCGGCGAGCATGAATCAGATTTCCGATTCGTCCCCCACCGCATCTCCGCCTTCGGCGCCACCGTCCTCGCCGAGGGCTTCAACCAGTCCGGCGACATCGCCTGGGTCCACGCCTGGACCGTCACCGCCGGCGGCGTGATTACCGAGGTCCGGGAGTACTTCAACACTTCCCTGACGGTGACCCGGATCGGTGTGACAGACCAATCAGATTGCGCGGTTCCGCCGGTCCATTTCCCCTCGGTTTGGGAGAGCAGCCTCCCGAACCGGGTCGGGAAGTCCGTACCCGGTCTCGTGCTCGCTATCTGAGACGACGTCGTTTGGAGACTAACGTCACGTGCTTGCTAACGTGTAGGTTCTTTTTCTGGATGGTTTGAGATCTACGGCTGGGATTGAGTTATGGGGTGTGATGTAGTGTATGTTAGTTTGCATGTACCCGAGAAGATGACCAATCAAATGAGGGTTGGGAGATTCTCGTTAGCTGATTCGACGTCGTTTTAGTGCCCAAGTGTTTGCTATCATCGGACTCTTGTTGCAGTAACACGTGCTCAATGCTCGGTTGTGTTTTCACTTTTTAAATAAAAATAATATATATCGAATAGGAGTGTTTAATCCTTTCCCGCATATTAATCTTTTAATATTAATTATTATATTAATACGTTATACAAATTAAAAAAAATAATAAAAATATCTCTATTAATTTTTTATAATACAAATATAATAGCACTTGCGGAGTATATTATATAAATATAAAAATATTTTTTAATTAAATATAATAAAACAAAAGACAAATATAACCGATTTGATGGCACTAAATTAATTAATTTAAGTGTGTTTGTTGGGTGTATTATAATTGAATTTTAAATTTTGAATTAAAATATTTTTTCTGTGAAAAAGACAAGCTATTTGTTTTTTATACATAAATTTTTTAATGTTATTAGTATTATATTGTATGTAAATATAAATCAACACAAAAAAAACAAAAACATTTTTTATTATTATATAATATAAAAATAATAATATTTGTATAATATATTGTATTTATAATATTAAAATAATAAAATAATTTTATTTTGAAATGAATTTAAATAAAATAATGAAAATTATTATTTTTGCTGATCATCTTTTATTTTTTGTAATTTATTATCATAAACATACTTAACAAATATAAATCAATTAATTACAATTTTAATTTATTATATTAAAACTCATTCAAAATCTATTTATTTATATCTCTTAATTATTATTATTATTAATATAAATCTATTAATTATTATTTTGATTTTAATAAACAAATATTTATATTTATATTTAAAACTTCTCATTTTTTATAAAATTAGTTTCGAGTTAATTGTAAATAAATAAGGGTAAAATATTTTTTTAATCTCGTAACTAGACTTCTTTATCATTTTAATCCCATAAATGAGGTCTGTCGCAAACTAGTCCCATAAATGAAAATTTTTCGTTGTTTTAGTCCTCCGGCTTCGGAGACGCCCGCATGGCTCGCCGGAAACCATGTGTCCCACCAAGTTAGCGACATTTGACGGACACGTGGATTTTTATTTCTTTTTTAATTTTTTTTCAATTGGACCAAATAAAAAAATAAAAAAAAAGACAAATAAAATTAAATTAAATTTTAAATAAATTTTAATAAAAAAAGAAAAAAAAAACAAAATCTACGTGTCCGCCAGGTGTCGCTGACCTGGCGGATACGTAACCTCCGGCGAGCCACGCGGGCGTCTCCGGCGCCGGAGGACTAAAATAGTGAAAAATTTTCACTTATGTGACTAGTTTGTGAAAGGTTCACTTACGAGACTAAAATGACAAAGGGATTCTGGAACTAAAAAAACAATTTACTTATCTTTGATAGGCTGTTGCCCCAAACTGTGTTTAGATCCGTTTTTTGTTTGCGGGAGTGGTGATTTTGATTTGAATTATTAATTTGTATTTCTTTTAATTGTTTTTGCATTAATTTTTTTTTTAACATCATTATATTTATTCATTAAATTTAAAATTTATAAGTTCCAAACCGAAAGAGCAAGATAATTTATGAGTATTATTATTATTTTTTTAAATCAAGCTACATTTGATTTTAGATATTTGATTTGTTTATTTTATATTTATATTTACATATATTTTATTTTAATTTTCTCTCTAGTTATTATACATTACTATAAATTTTCCATTTATTTTTACTATTATATATATATTATAAAGTGATTGCAATTAAAAGAAAAGAGCAACAACAACGAAGACAATGTACTAATTTCAGATAATTGAATTATTTGTAATACAATTGAAAATGCATAAATATGTAAATAATAATTAAACAAGCTGGGCAGTGTTGTTGCAGTCTATAATGCAAAAGCATTGGGAGTCCCTAATCTTACAATATCCAGTTATTGCATTTTTACCGTGGCAAGAACGGATGCACGGAAGCTCCTCACAAGGTCCTTTTATATCGTTATTCAATACATCACAAGTCTTGCCAAATACCGCCGTTGTCTCCCCTGAAATAAATATAAATAAAAATAAAAAATTATAAATACAAGTATTTAAAATTACGTCATAAATATATACATATCCGATCGATCGAGGACTTACAACAAACCAAGAGCACGAGAAAAATTACGACGAAATGTTTAGCCATGTTGATATGGAACTATAGCTTATTGAATATTGACATCTAAATGGTTTCTCTAACCCTTTATTTATAGCTAAGTTTTTCGGATTATTATTATTATTATTATTATTATTATTATTATTATTATTATTATTATGTATATATGTTGTACATTGTATATTGTAAATTTTAGAATTTCTAATTACATTTAAGCAATCCTATAATAAATTATTGCAACTTTAGACTTTTTTTTTTATGACTAATTGAGATTTTATTTTTATTATTATTATTATTATTATGTATATATGTTGCACATTGTTTATTGTAATTTTTAGAATTTCTAATTACATTTAAGCGATCCTATAATAAATTATTGCAAACTTTACAAATTGAATTTTTTTATTTTTTTTAATGACTCTTTCAAATTTCATTGTTATTGATATTATTATGTACACATTGTATATTGTACTTTTTAGAATTTATAATTACATTTAAGTGATTCTATAATAAATTATTGTCACTTTACTAAGTGAGATTTTAATACTAGGAAAGTTGAACTAAATAGGCACAAAATTGTTTTTTCTTCTTCTGTAAATACATGCATAACTACGATGTTGCGAATATTTTAATATTTATGTCATAATTTTAAATAATCATAAATTTTTACACAAATTATTCAATTGCAATATAAGTAAAAAAATAAAAATATTGAAAATGTTATTGTTACTTTAAATAATTGGGAATTGTAATAAAAAAATTGTGAATGTTTCTGTTTTGTATGTCATAACTTTAAAATGTCACAAAAATTTTATAATATGACAATATTTGTGATATTTTGAAATGTTACAAATATTTTTATTATTTGTATTGCAACTTAAATTAGTCACGAAAAAATTACATGATAATATTTGTAACAAAATAACAAAAAAATACGAAATACTAGTATCTTGGATATTTTCGTTGCGTAAACCACTTCTTCAAATAGTTAGGAAATGTTATTTATTATTTTTTCTGTAAATATTACATATAGAAATTATAACAAAAAATTGTGATATAAATTTGTCAAAAAAAATTATTGTTTGTGACTTTTAATTATCCAGAATTAAAAAATTCCACAAATTTATGCTGTTATCATTATTTTTCTAGTAGGGTGTATATTATGAGTATGTTTGTTTTGTATTTTTAATTGGATATGTTTTTTTTTTTTTTTAATATCAAATTGGGAGAAGTGTATTTTATAAAAGTAATATTTTATATTAAATTATTAATTTTGCTAATAAATAAAATATATATCATATATTGTGCGGATATATATGTATATATTATTTTTTTATAGTATTAACCATGAAATGTATAGAAAATATTTTATTAATAGAATATGCGTGCCAACTTTATTGAAGATTTAATACAATAAAATTATTCAAAAACCAATCTAAAGGTGTGTTCACCAATTATTATTATTATTATTTTTTTTAACTTTCTAATTAATATTATTAATAATATAATATATAGCGTCCTCATTACTAGACTTTTTATTTATTTATGTTTAAATCATTTTTTTTTTGTTTTTTTAAGTAAAAAGTAACTTTCAATTGAATATCAAAATGCTTTTACATTATATTTTTCATATTATTTTTATTTTAATCTTAATTATAAAATAAACATTACACTACTTTGTTACACTATATATCTATAAAATACTAATTTATCATAATTCGCATAAAAAATCAAATAAAAATCATACTAATGGACAGAGGGACTGTGCTATATTAAATTTCAACAAATTGAAAATTTCAACATAAATAAAATATTAATTCTTTTATATATTATCTAAAATACGGTGTCTCTAATCAAAAGAGTTCATCTCTCGCGGGACGAAAGGGAGTATTTTTTATATCACCGTCATGGTATAAAAAACAATTCAAACTCAAAATACATTATTAAAGATTATTTCAATTCATTTTATCTTTAGTTTAAGAAAATTTTTTTTTTAGTCTTAGCTAATTATTATATGACATGTTTCAAAATATTTAAAAAAGAAAATCCAAATGTATTATTATTATTATTATTATTATTATTATTATTATTATTATTATTATTATTATTAGTTAAAAACTATATGAAATAAATAATACTTAAATTTTGATTATATATATATATAACAAACAAAAAAATGCACTGAGATATTTGGTAATTTAATTTAATTTTGGAAAGTTAGTGGGATATGATGGTGGTCATTTTTTGTTGGAGGCTTCCTCTTACCGTACCATGTTGCTTGTCTTCACTATTACAACATCATCATATCATCGTCCTTTACCTTCTGCCAAAGGCCATTCGAATTCAATATGTAAATGTTGTGTTTATTTGGAAATTACAGAAATATATTATTTCAACCGACAATGTATATAGACTTCTGTAATTTTATGTAAAAATACAATAAAATTAATGGATCTTTAGAGTTTATGGATGATTCAATATCTAAAATTTTAAATTTTTTTTAAAATTTTAAATCGAATATCTCAATCTTTTAAAATTTAAATTGAATATCTTTAAATTTTATTATTGTTATTATTATTTAAAAAGTACGAATTGTAGTCGCCTAAAGTTTTTTTTTTAAAAAAAATTATTGTTGATGATAATGTCAAAATTCAAAAAATTGTGTATGTTCACATCAATATGAATCAAGTGTTGAATGCTTAAAAACTAATTAAACTTAATTAATACACATAATTAATAAAATTAAAATAATTATATATAATTAATTTATACCTATTAAGCAAGTGCTCAAATATTATTTTCAGCACCTGATCCGAGGGGGTGTTCACGTAGGCTTAATTTATGATATAAGATTGGTATTTTTGAAGGATTGTCCTAACCCTTTCTTAAAGGGCAGATATATATATATATATATATATATAGATCTATGGTATAATTGGGAAGCCAAAGTTTACATAACATCCAAAGATAAGAACTAAATTTAATTAGCCATCCTAC